AAACAAAAAATCATTAGTTTCCACCATTGCAAAGTTGCACATTAAAAAAAAAAAAATTGTTTAACGGTTTTGAGTGTTTACACTTATTTTAACTAATTTCCTCTCTGAATTGATTAAAAATAAACTATCTACACCCAAACTAAAATATTCGTGAGATAATTCTCTCGTAACCTATTCTTAAAAAGTTGTTTAATGTTTTATTTAGAAAGTCGACAATTCCTCCATATTACCTACCATATAAGCAAACTTTAAAGAGTAATGTTATATGTACTTAAAAAATAAACTTAAAAATTAGATTTGATAATCTCAATAATTGATTTCAGTGTGAGTCCTATTATTTATTGAGGCCCACTGCCTATTCAATAGTTAAGATTATTAAATTTAATTTTTAAATCTAATTTTTAAGTGACTGTGTCGTTACTAAACTTTAAAAGTTACAAACACAAGGGCATTTACGAGTTTCCATCTGTAATTCAACTGCCTTTTTGCCCGCCAATACATACCGCCTCAGTCTCTCTCTCTCTCTCGCGGAGTCCATGGACTCACCTGTGCTTTTCGCTTTCTTGGTTCTCTTCTTCACCATGTTTCTCCAACCCATTAGAGCTCTACAGTACCCTCAAGAACTCGACACTGAAGTCTACCCTGACCTGGCCGACCTTTTCACTAGCCCGACAGCGTCTGCACCTGAACCAGGAGGTTTCTCAGTCTCTCTAACCCCAACTTCTCCTCCTCCTCCTCCTCTTGTTCCGGCCTTATTCGTCATCGGAGACTCCTCCGTCGACTGTGGCACCAATAATTTCCTAGGAACATTTGCTCGTGCCGATCGTCTTCCTTATGGACGAGATTTCGATACTCACCGACCCACCGGACGGTTCTGTAACGGAAGAATCCCCGTTGACTATCTTGGTAAAATTCGTTTTCTTGATTTTCTACTTGGCTTCTGGAAATAACGAATGAAGTTCTAAGAAAATTACATATTGGCTGTTCTAATTTCTTGCTATTTTTTGTTTCTAAAAGAGGAAAATAAAGAATGAATTGCAGGTTTTAGTATGGATTCAGTTTGGCTTTCTTGTGGTCTTTTTATGTTTTTATTCAAATTTTTTATTCAGTAATTAAGAAGTGTATTACTTTGAAACAAGTCTTAATCTTGTATTTTTGGATGGTAGTTCTTCATTGTAACCTGGACTTTGAGGCATAGTCTTATGGGAATTGATGTTTCTTGAATGGTAGTTTTGAGCATCACAAATTAATTCTTTGTTTGCTTTGATCAGCATTGCGTCTTGGGCTTCCATTTGTACCTAGTTATCTTGGGCAGATGGGTTCTGTTGAAGGTATGAGTCTTGGAGTGAATTACGCTTCTGCTGGTGCTGGAATCATATTCTCGAGTGGGTCAGAATTGGTAGGTTTTCTGTTATCCGTACACATTGAATTCAATTGATCAACACCAGTCACTTTATATGCGGGCCATGACTGCTTCAGTCTTTATTTGTAAAATTGAAACTGCTTGAAGCTGCTTAGTAGAACATCTCTGTCCCTACGGGGTGAGTTTGTCTTATGAAGTATTCAAACCCTGCATTAATGAAAAAAAAGTTTCAATTTATACTCTGCAATGGGAAAATAGCAATAATTTCTGATGACAGATTGAATATTTGGTCTGTATTTTATGTTAAGAAAATGTAATAATTTTCAGTATGTTGTTTGTTTGTAATGACTACCCACTCAACCTTTTATAAACTAATTGTTATTTGCTTAACCAAATTTTCTTTTTGCCTCTTTGACATAATTTATGGGACTAAATTAGGCATGGAGGTTAAGTGGCCTGTGTAAGTTGAGCAAATGGGTTTGTCCAAGTAGTTAAGGAGCTGCTCATTTCAAGGTACGAACTAGGATGTAGTCCCACTTCCTACCCCATGCCCTTTAGGGGTATGTTAGGTTCACCTTGTTCACCTAAAAAGGGGCCATGTAAGTTTGTGATCGTGTAGAAAAATGTTACTGTATGATTGCATTGAAGAATGCCTTTTTTTTTTTGGTAAGTTCATCGAAGAAAGAAGAATGCCATAATCAGCAAACTTTTGATACTATGGTTACTGATGAGGCAGTAGCAATCCTTGATCATATAATTCTGTACAGGGTCAGCACATTTCCTTTGCGCAGCAAATTCAGCAGGTCACAGATACTACTCAGCTGTTTATACTGAGCATGGGCGAGGATGCAGCAGCTAAGCTCATCTCTAACTCTATATTTTACATATCTATCGGAACAAATGACTATATACATTATTATCTCCGAAATGTATCCAACGTGCAATCTCTATATGTACCATGGAGTTTCAACCAGTTCTTAGCACAGACAATGAAGCAGGAGATTAAGGTGATTATCTTACGTGTTTCTGTTGCATATTCTGAGTTGTTCAAAACATGATGTCTGCAAGATTTTAGGTTAATACTTAGAGAATTTCAGCAGTTCATTTGACCTGTATAAAATTTTGGTATCTTGGCTATCAAGTTTGTTTATTCTTTTATACACCGCTTTACTGCAAGTTATATTCCCTGGGAGGAAGCGAATTTGAAATCGGATATATACATCATGTTCCGTCATTACGCTATGGCCATGTTTTTTATGAATTTTAAGTTATCATATTCTTCGTTATTATCTCAGACGACATTAATTTCAGTTATCTATATCCCTAGCATTTTCATAACATATTATCATATCAGTCTTCCTTAGTGATATAGTTATAGATCTTTTTATCCAAGTTATCTTTGTCTATTATTTCTTGATTTATTTACCATCCCAAAACATATTTATTCATAATTCTACATTTTTGTATTTTACCACACTTTCATCTTCACGTCTGCATATCAACGGCACATTTTTTGGGATTAGGAAAGATTTATGGCTTTTTTCTGATTTAAATCCCGAATACTGCATCAATCCCATACTTGCAAACTGAAAATATTTCTTTTACATTTACATAGTTAGCTTTAGTAATCTTCTAATTTATATTGATGGTACAGAACTTGTACCACTCTAATGTCAGGAGAGTGGTGGTAATGGGATTAGCTCCTATCGGTTGTGCTCCATACTATCTGTGGCAGTATGAAAGCAAGGATGGAGAGTGTGTCAAAATGATAAATGACATGATATTGGAGTTCAACTTTGTCATCAGGCACACGGTTGAGGAACTCAATCAAGAGCTTATTGATGCCAATGTAATCTTCTGTGATGTGTTTGAAGGTTCCATGGATATTATAAAGAATCATGACCTTTATGGTGAGAGAATCTTTTCTTCCATTTTATTGAGATCCACCTCTAGCAGTTTGTTTTGTACTGTAATTTTTGATCCCATTTCAGGTTTCAATGTCACAACCGATGCTTGCTGTGGCTTAGGTATGTATAGGGGTTGGATCATGTGCATTTCACCTGAAATGGCTTGCATTAACGCGTCCAATCATATTTGGTGGGACCAATTTCATCCAACTGATGCTGTTAATGCAGTCCTGGCTGACAATGTGTGGTCTGGCCTGCACACCGAGATGTGCCATCCTATGAACTTGCAGGCTATGTTAGCTCAGCAGGCCAGATGATCCGATTAGAAAGTTCAACCATATCCTGAGTATGGATACAGCAGATAATTCTTTGGTCCTGAAATTTTATGTGATACTTAGATCCTACAAACAGGAATGTGTAGTTATTCCATGCATGCTTGACTGGCATTTTGAGCTACTAAATAACCATTGTACTGATATTGTCGATAGATTTTTTAGCATTTCATGTTGGCTGAAAATGTAAATGTTTCAGCTTCATGGTACTTCTGTGTTGTTATCGTCGAAGGATGTTGTTTTATCGAATTTTTTTCTCCCAACCAAAGAAAGTTTCTTGGTGCATCTGATTTTTTCCTCTAAGTCATTTCAAAATTTTCATTTTCAAATTAAAATACATTGATTTGTCATGCTGATTATTGCTTTTTGAGGGAAGTTCTACTTCATTTGGAGCAGAAGGCTTTTCAACTCATATCCCAACTGCTCTCTCATCCGAAAGTTTTACCGTTTTAGATCCACCTAGTTGTAACTTAGGGAGCTGTATTCATCGGTTTTGATTGACCTAGCTTTCGTTTAGAATTTTACCCTTTAGCACCTTGTATGCTGTGAGCATAGCTGATTTCTTAATAGTTAAAGGAGCAGTTTATCTTATATCACTATCCTTTGTAATCTTTCCAACTTCTTTTGGAAGACCGATTTGTTGATAATGCGGAAGAACCGGTCCCGCTACCCTCCCAAAAGCATCTAAATCGATACCAATAAAACGATTGTTGAGACTATCTTATGTAAAACAGACTCGTTCTTGCCATAGAGAAGCATGGGAGAAGTGGTCCTTGGTTACATGAATCTTTTCTTAAAGATAAGAGAGCGAGTTTAAGCAACATTATTAGAAGAATGAATTTTTGAAGTTTTTAAACTCGAGGCTTCTGTGATTTATCAAAAAAAAAGTTTTTAGATATTCGTTCAAATATCTCATCGACCTTCACCAATTCAATTATATGAGTTATGAGTGAAATAATTGAAGTTGAATAATTTTGATAAGACTTCCCGGTGTTTATAATGTCAAATGGATTGGCAATATCATGAAATAATGTACTCATTTTCTATATGGTGTGCAGGGATAGTTTTGCTCGGTGAATTTGCAATTAAATGGCGGATTCTTGGGTATTTAGAATTTATAACTTTTGGATACTGTAATACAGAGTAATGATAATAGCGTTATCCTCGGTTAACCTGAAACTTGCACCCAAACACTGGTCATTACTGTGACCCGCTTAAAGCCTCGGAATTGGATAAACGGAAAATGAGCTCCCTTGCTCACTCTGTTAGTTCGTCAATTCTCACTCTGGTTCCCATCGACTTTCAGAGCAGAAAGCTCCCAATCTTCAACAAATATCACTACAGCCCCTCGAATAAAATGCCACTTTGCCATTTCAACAACTTCAAAACCCTAGTTTGATGAACCCTAGCGGTGCAAATATGTATTCTGCAACAACTGGCAGAACTGATATTCTGATATCTGCTAGAGTGTCTCATTCGCAATCCTCCATTAAACTCTTTAGATCATACACTATCCCAATTTCAATCAAAAAAAGTTCAAGAGATTTGAATTTTACTCAAAGGATCAGAGAAAGACCTCCTCTATTTCATCCACAATTGCCAGTTTTATGCAAATCAAAAACCACGTTGTCTGCGCAACGTGATAATAGTAGAACTTCCGGTGAAGAGGATTTTGTGACTAGGGTTTTGAAGGAAAACCCTAGCCAGGTGGAACCCAAGTATTTGGTTGGTAATAAACTGTGTACATTAAAGGAAAAAGAACAATTGGAAAAGAAAGGATTCGATGGTGGAGTTTTTGAGATTTTGAAAAGGTTGAATTTGAAGGCATTGTCAAAGAAAGAAGGTGATGCGGGTAAAGATGAAAATGTTGTCCAGACTGACAATGTTTTTTTGAAGGATATTTTGAGGGAATACAAAGGGAAACTTTATGTTCCTGAGCAGCTTTTTGGGGCGAACTTGTCAGAGGAGGAGGAATTTGACCAGAATCTGGAGGTGTTGCCGAAGATGACTTATGAGGATTTTCGGAAAAACATGAAGAGCGATAAAATAAAGTTGTTGAGTTTCAAGGAAAGTATTGTTGTTTCTTATGGGATGAGAGATTTCATTGTGGACTTGAAGGAAATCCCCGGTGACAAAAGCTTGCAGAGAACTAAGTGGTTAGTTTCATAAACCTGTGATTTCGTTTGAATTTACTATATCTTTCTCTGATTATTTTATATATTGTTGTTTGAATGTCTTATAAACTTCATCAGGGTGATGAGACTGGATGAGAACCAAGCACAGGCTGTCTTGGAGGATTACACAGGCCCGCGATATGAGATAGAGAAGCAAATGATGGTACTGAATCTTGTTTGTTGTTTGTTAGAATTCACTTTCAGCATATACAATGAGCCTCTGTCGGAGATCTTGTTGATTGAGGGAAATATTACTAAAAATAAACGAAGAAATTTTACTTCCACAACAAAGGGTGATTTCATGTAAGCAATTCTGAAGAGTGAATTCTGGAAAAAAGGTGCATGCTTTTTTAATGTGTCACTTTGTGATTTTGATATTGGTCAATAGTAAAATGGCAGGAAACTAACTTTCTTAAAGAATGCCTTCAGTGGCTACATTTAGAAACCTTCACTGAACTCTCTTCAAAATGATTGTTTGAAATCCTAAATCCTTACCATGTGCGGAGCGGCATTTATAGTCTGTATCCCTACCGTACTACTTGCCTGGAGTAGGAAAAGTTTTTTATCTGTTTTTTTGTCAGTCACTGGTAGTGCCACTGTTCCTTACGGTTCATGAGACAATAGTGACATAGTTTTGTTTCTCGCTGTTCACTATGTAGTCCATTACTGATCTAAAGTCTAATCCTTCTTATCTAGTACGGAAGCAACCGAAGTACAAAACTGGCTCGTTCTATCCCTTCGTGTTGTGACAAGACACACTGCAATAGAGAGGAATAATCTATCTATCTATATATAACAAACAATTTTGATTTTGACGGGAGAGGGCATGGGAAGCCTTCCCTCTCTATTTTCTAAACTGCTAGAATTTTGTAAATTTGTATTCGAAAACTAAGGCTCCCTCCGATCAACTCCTACTATGTGTCATTTGTAACCATTCATTCTCAACTCTCCAATAACTAACTACTATTTTTTAAAATTTATTTATAATATTTTTTTATCACCTAAAATCATACTATAATTATTTATCAAAATTTTCATGTGATTAGATAAAAGAGAAAAAAAAAAATTGACAAGAAGTATAATCTCGTACATTGCACGGGGCTGGACCGCTAGTAATAATTAGATGAAACCTTAGCTCATCTTAACATCCAATCTTACTAAGTTTGTAGGTCAGAAAGGCAAATGAGCAGGCTCATCTCTTGAAATTGCTTCCTTTGGCAAGAATTAGAATCCTTTCCCGCTGGAATCTGGCACCTTAAGAGCTCTATCTTTATTACTTTTAGCTTCATTTTTGTAAGATTTGATGCATTGAGCGAAATGCTAAAAAGCGGTTTGCTTTTTTCATCAGGTTTCTAAAAAAGTTCACCCTTCTTTTTGATAGTCGACTCCATGTCTTTCATGTTCAAAAAATAAAATATGAAAAGGACAATAGAAATCATAACAAGTATATTTAGATGGATTGGCACAATATTATTAGAATTAAGAATAGAAATGAGTGCATGTGAAGAACTAGACATGGCTCTTGCTGAGGATTAGGTAAGTTAAAGTTGCCATAGGCAGTTTATGCATATGCAATGCAGACTTATGAGTTCGCTAAATAAGGGTTTAGTTTACTGAAGTTGGATGTGCCAGAACAGGAGGAATGCCAAAAAGAAAAAGTGTCAAAACAGGTATTCTAAGAAGGATTTATCTATCAATAAAGAAATATGAAAATGGTGGCATATAGATGCAGAGGAGCTAATTTGATGTGAAAATGTTTGTGTAACTTCCCCCAAATAACTGGGCCTTAATACTGGATTGGCTTGTGCTGAATTGAGTGTCAGTGTTAACATCACTCTGCCTGATGTATTCTCAGGCCAGCTGAAAATTGAGTGACTTGGTTACTACAATAACATATTCATTATTAGGTTTCTTTGTCTCCTGTTATATTAAATGGATGCAGGTTTTTCTACATTGTATCAGCACTTCATTGCAAGCATATGTAAAACCTAAATTCCCTTGGTGAAATGTTGGAAAATCATCTTCTTCATCCTTATGGTCCTTCGTCACATTTTCTCATATTTTTCTCCTTTGTCTTACATCTGGATCTCATGGTGCAGTCTTGGGTGGGAAAAGTGCCAGAATATCCAAATCCAGTGGCATCTACAATATCCAGCAGAATGATGGTAGAGCTTGGAGTGCTTACTGCTGCAATGGCTGCAGCTGCAGTTGTTGTTGGAGGGTTCCTAGCTTCAGCAGTATTTGCAGTGACCAGCTTCGTCTTCGCCGTGACTTTATATGTGGTGTGGCCTATGGCTAAACCATTTCTTAAGCTTTTGTTTGGTCTTGTCTTCAGTATTTTAGAGAGAGTTTGGGAGAATTTTGCTGATATTGTCAGTGATGGAGTCTCCAAGTTGTATGAAATTTACACATTTGGTGGTGTATCTGCCAGTCTTGAGATGCTTAAACCAATCATGCTTGTATTTTTAACTATGGTTATTCTTGTACGTTTTACTCTTTCTCGAAGACCTAAGAACTTCAGGAAATGGGTAAGTTAACTTTGACAGTTCATAATTTTACTGCAATGCATTGATTACCCCTTTCAGTTTAATTCATTTTGTGTACATTATGCAGGATATATGGCAAGGCATTGAATTTTCTCAATCTAAACCCCAAGCTCGTGTGGATGTTAGTTCTGCTTGTGAATTATTATTCTTAACTTTTCGATCTTCTTAAAAGTAGTTATGAGACCTGTAGGATTCTTTTTAAGTGGATCACATTCTTCAGGGTTCAACTGGAGTTACATTTAATGATGTGGCAGGGATTGAGGAAGCAGTGGAAGAGCTCCAAGAGGTAAGATTGCTCTGCTAATTCTTCATGCATTTGATGAAATATTGTTTAGGACAAAGAGGAGCATACTGTTGGCTGCTTCCTTTTTGTTTATTTTGTTCATAACGTAGTTTTAATCTAAAATGGAAGTCATTTGACAGAAAAAGAAGAATATCATTTTCTGTTTGTAGCTCCGGTCAAGTTCATGGAAGTTTCTATCTTTATGAGGAAGCATGGTGTCCCAGAATAAGACTTATTTACCTTGGGCAATAGTCAAGTTACTGTGCAGTTTTTAGACATTATTTAAGTTTTATGAAAAACTTCTAAGTGCTAAAAATTAGTGGAAGGAATTCGTCATCACACTTCAGTCAATTCTGTGCAGTATCCAAGCATTGTTAATTTATTCGCTCACCTTTTTGATGTTACGTTGATGCTCTCTCTTTTTGCCTTGCAGATTATTGTTACTTTTTTTTTTTCCTGATGCACTAATATCTTTCTTTGGAGATTCATTTTGAGCCTCATTTTTTAATTTCAAGTCTCTTGTAGTCATAGAAACTAAATGGTTCGTAATTGCATTTTCACTGATTAGTTGGTGAGGTATTTGAAGAATCCAGAACTATTTGATAAAATGGGGATAAAGCCTCCACACGGGGTTCTTTTAGAGGGTCCTCCAGGATGCGGCAAGGTTGGTTGTCTTTTTTTGCGTAGTGCAAACTTTTACCCGTGAAATTCTTTGTGCAAATTGATATTTACATGATGCTTTTCAGACCCTGGTCGCCAAGGCCATTGCTGGTGAAGCTGGTGTTCCATTTACCAAATGGCTGGGTCCGAATTTGTTGAAGTTTTAGTTGGTGTTGGTTCTGCTCGGATCAGAGATCTATTCAAGAGAGCCAAGGTGATCAAACTTTAATGAGACCTTATCGCATATTATGATATGTTATTTGGTCCAAGTTCTGTGTTAGAGTGATTTTTGTTTGTGCTTGTCTTTGGGGCACCATTAATTTTACAAGATTAATATTCGCTTTTTTTTTTTTTTTTTGACGGGGAAGATTATCTTTCTCTGCTCTTGTAAGTGTTACTGAGTTGTAAAATTTGATTTTCCTGGATAATCGGTATTTAAGATAAATTTCTCACGAATCCCTATATATTGCATTGAAGTTGCTACTTTACTTAATCTAATATATGTAGGTCATTAACTTCTTTTGCTTGCATGGTTATTATTATAGTTTTAAATGATGGAGATGAACCTGTTTAAATACCTCACTGGGTTCTCAAAGAATCTTACTGTCCAAAAGGTGTGCTGACAATAGGGAGACCATGTTTTAGTTTGCGCGACTAATAAAACACTTCTTCTGGTTCTGTGGAAGTAAGAAATTTTCCCTTTTTGGGAAGGAAAGTGGAGAAAGATATGATAAATTGAAAAGTTCTAGTGTCTTTGTTTCCCCACATCCTCCCAACCTTTCTATTATTGAAATGTTTGGTAGGTCTATAATTTTGTCAACTTTGGAGGGGAAGTATTTTGTGTTGTACATTATTTGTTCTTCTGGAGATGTTTCCTGCTGGACAAATTTACAAAATAAATTCAATGAAATAATTATTCAGACTCTCTTGAGTTTGCTCTTGTTTGTGTGATTTAAAGTGTATCTTGAAAATGATGAATTATAGTCAATGTTGGAAAGCTTGTAAAAAAAAACTGACCCATATGGCATGTACCAAATAAGGTAAGATACACTCTCAATCCTTAAATAAGAACTGAATCGGCCCCCCAACCTGGTTAAGTTCTCTTGTTTACTTTTTGATGGATGAGTCTCTGTGATGTACATTTAACCTTATTAACAGGGATGGAGCTAAAAATTTCTGACCACAGGGATAGTTTAAAGGAAGTTGGTATAAACTTCAAATGCCTGGCATGCAGTATTGATATCCTATGTTTAGTTCTTCCACTGCTTACTATGATCAACTCTATCTGTGTCACTTTTTTTGAAGGTGGAGTTCCACGTGTCTTAGTATTGGGATGGAGTGTATGAAATATAGCTTTCAGGGTGTTTGTTTTTGTGTTTTTTTTTGGGAGGTGGGGGGTTAGAGGGGGGAGGAGATCATTGGGTAGGCTTTCCAGGAATATGGGTGCTTGTCTTGCATGACAAGTGGCTCCTATGGACTAAATTTAGACTGGTTGTACTTTGACATTTCTGCTTGGACTACTGACTGCCTTCCCTAAAGGTTATTTGATGGATGCAATATTTGAAATATGAGTTGAATGTATTCCAAGGGATTGAACCAATGAACTTCAAAACCTAGAAAACATATTTGTTCAAATTTTTGTCATTAGATTTTTGATGAAGGAAAAGAAGAGCCTTGTGAAATTTTTTTAACATCTGCTTAACCAAAGAGGTAGTTAATATGCTCAATTTGAAGAATGCCTCATATGTTCTGTGCAGGTAAACAAACCATCAGTTATTTTTATTGATGAAATTGATGCACTGGCTACAAGGTATGAAAGTTCCTTTCCATGTCTTGTCAAAGTGGACATTTGAACCATTTTACTGTAAAAATATTATAAGGATCCATAGGCATATTAGTTTCTTGGTCATTCTAAAAGTAAGTATTGGCTGGAGAAAAATGCAGTTTTATGAATTACGTCTGTCTGCTTCCGGTAGCTATAAATATTTGCGAACTATTACTTCTGACAGGGACACATGCAAAATTCTTTTTTGACAAACTAACCTTGCAACGTTAGCTGGATACATTGAATGCTCTGGGTAGTTTTGTATATAAGCTATGTATGATTGTGTGGTTTAGCGCAAGTTAGATTTTAGTCTTGCCATCACATCTCACAATGAATGCTCTGGGTAGTTTTGTATATAAGCTGATCATTACATAGTCCAAGTTAAAGAAAATATGTTTTGTATTATCAGATGCTCTTTAATCTTTAGGTCTCTAAAAGCTTGTAATTTATTGCTTAACTTTTTTAGATGGTGGTACATAATTATGTGGTAAAGGTTTTGGAGCTGCTATATATCTCACCCCCCCCCCCTTCCCCTCCCCCACCACGAAAATAACAAACAGCAAGAGAATGATTTCCCTCTTCCCTCCCTTATAACAAAAAGAGAAAGTAACATACAAAAAAATACCTTTAGATGTGTTATGGGTCACCTATGTGTGTGACGCTGAATGTTCTAATTCGTAGGCCTGTTTTGGATTGGTGATTACCAACTAAGATTGAACTTGAGGAAATAATTAATTGCAGCGTACTATGTATAACTAGTTTGATAATTAGCAAAGGACAAACTATCTGAAACATGATATTATCAGCTGGCACTTAAAATGAAAATCTTTAGGAAGAAAAACAACATTGATAAGGGAGAGAAACATGATTTGATCCATTTGATAGAGGATGTAGAGAATTGCCTCTGGAGTGTTGTGTTGTGTGATTGACATATATAACCAAACCTAAGAAAATTTCATATAAATCAGTTGATGCATCATTGTAAGGCAGATGGCAGTCCAAAAAAAATGTTTATTAATTGTGGGTGACTAAGTAGATAAAAGAAATGAGCAGCCAAACGAGAAACGGAAGTGTTGAGAGACTAATGTTGGACTACCAAATGGGCCAAAATCTTAAACTGATGCTATTGAATATGTTGAAAACTCTAGGTTTAGTTCTCAGTAGAAATAATAAGTGAATGCAATTTTGAGTTACTTAGATGCCTTAGTATTTGAGGGAAATCTGGGTGGTGTTGGTTTTATGTTTGGGATCTGCAACAAGGCCAGCTGTTTTGCATCTACAGATTGACTTGATTTTGGGCAATGGTATTTCTAGGTCAAATGGAAGGTTAAGGAGATGTGCGCTTAATCTGAACAATGTAACTGAAAATAGTTGGCTATGCATTGTTGGATGCAAATGAAAAGTAATGATCTGACTTTGGAGCACATGATCCTCTGGAAGCCTTTTAAACCTGTGATGCAACCCATCTGTTATATTGTTCTGTGCTGATTATCCTGAATGCAAATGGTGATACCAGTTTTGTTTAGGACATTTGGCATGCCTAATTTTTCCAATATCCCCTATGACATAATGATTCTTTGTATGCAAGCACTGCAAAAATTGGTGTGTCCTAATCTACGTATAGATGTTATGAATGCTCTCATTTGTCCTCTCCTTACATTTAGGCGTCAAGGAATATTTAGTGAATCCACCGACCACCTATATAATGCAGCTACTCAAGAAAGGGAGACCACGTTGAACCAGCTATTGATAGAGCTTGATGGGTTTGATACAGGCAAAGGTGTTATTTTTTTGGGTGCTACTAATCGCATGGATTTGTTAGATCCTGCACTTCTTCGTCCTGGTCGGTTCGATCGTAAGGTTTGTATCTGTTATTGAATAGCATTATGTAATTGTCTAGCTATCACACCTTCCTGTGAGATTTAATCTGGCTTTTGCATCATCCCAGCTGGCCCTATAGTACTAAAGTTTATGTTATATCTACTAACAATTTATTTAAATCTAAATTTGCTGGAAAGTTTGTTTATGTTTTAAAATGACGCTATGAACATGGATTACATGTATTACATTGTGTTGGAGTTGGTAGTTGTGCCTTTTCATCCACTGGAGTTATGCATTTGCTTTTATAAACAATTCACAACTATGTGTGGTCATATTATTTCTCTTGTAGATAAGAATTCGTCCTCCTAATGCAAAAGGGAGATTGGAAATTTTGAAAGTTCATGCGCGGAATGTAAAATTGTCAGAATCTGTTGATTTAGCTACTATTCTCAGAACTTACCTGGTATGCAATTTTTCCTGTACTATAATGATTTTTGCTAGTTTT